TACGGAGTTTAGGACCCAGATTACTCCCAGATTTAAGAGCATCTTAGTCCGACAAATACGACAATAACGACGGCCGCTTGCATGTTCTGCAAAGAAATGTGCTTTGTCGTGTATCTGACGGACAAACACCAAACCAGTTCCACATCACTGAAGTTGCACCATTTTTACAAACCAATTCTGGTTCATCTGTTTCACTCAACAATCGGCCATGTGCGTATGAAAACAAAGGCAATGCGCATGCGCGTTTTACTCATATTCTATCGCGATATTTCATTTTCCTATCGTTGCCTAACTTTATACCGGTATTACCGCGAACAGTATAATATGGCCCAGCCCTACTATGAATGACTATGCCATCCTTAGATCATTGCGCTTGCTAAACTAGAGCTAAAAATAAATCCTCCTGGTGAGACTTCTGAAAAGTCAAACAGATTTCAGATGGTGATTCAGAGGCATTTCTCTACATTATCAATGCTGACTGGAGATGTTAGCACAGTGCGGTGTTCTCAGCTAAAGCCAAACGAGCCACAGAGGATTTTAAGATTAACTAAACTAACACTGGCTTCAGGTTTTATCTGTGTCTGATTATCTGCAGCGTGACAAAGGAAGATGGGTGTGCCTGCTGCCTTAGGCTCTTCTTTCTCTTTCACTGCCTTATAAAAAAATAAAATAAAAAACAGGCTCGTGCCATACAGGTGACATAATTTATGGCATTTTACCGGGAACAGTGTCTTGATTGTCTTGAGAGAAAAAAGGCCTATATAGAAAAAAAAGGACAACATTTCTTAAGCAGAGAGCAGGATTCTAGAGGTAAAACAATAAAACAATTTATACAATATTAAAAGCAATGGAAAGTGGTTTACAATCACAATAGCTTTGCAGGCATCACTGCAGCCACAGAGATATGTACCCACAGCCGTTGCAAACATGTCTGAAGAGAAGGTCATGGGCCACCTTACAAATAGCCCTGTAGAGAATCCCAGTGATAAGGCAGCCACACACACCCATTCTCTTAAACAGCCTGAGATAACTGAAATTCTGTGACCTAGTGTCCACACTGTCTTCATAGAAAAACGCACAGACTGAACATCCCCTCTGATGAACTGCCATGTCATGTAGTCCTGTTTAGGACATGCCTGTTTGGCATGGCACAGCAATAAAAAGAAAATCAAGTACTCTTTTTTTTTTTTTTTTTTTTTAAAGTCACAGCATGCTATTCTTCAGTATGAAACACAGCTCAGCTTCAGCTCAAACAACAGAACAATGTGTAGGGCGTACATGAGAGCTGCTTTTGAGCAGTTTGAGTCTGCAGATTTCTGAGCCTTCAATAGACCAGGTCTTGCAGGACAAAAATGTCCTGCAACTTTTAACCAAAGATAAGACAGGAATTATGTCATCACCCTGCCTCATTCAGCCACAGTGCTGCTCTGCTCTTGTTTCCCACAGACACACATGTGGTGTCGTTTCCTTCCTGGCTGCCTTAGGGGACTTTGCTCAAAAGATCCCCTTCAAAAGAAGAATAGAAAGAAGAAAGAACCCGTACAAACAGACCAGGTAAACCACACTAAAAGTTTCAGTGTGGTGACACCTAAGCAAAATTAAAACTGCGACTCGGAGGATTTATAAAAGCCCCTAATTTCCCAGCGCATTGGGCTGCTTCTTTGGCCTGTTCTATTTTGCATGACAAGCACCGCAATACTGGAAACCGCAGTACTGTTGCAAACTAACCCTACACTAAAAGGCAGAAAAAATAACCTACAGCCTCCGTATATTTCCGTTCCCATGCAACCATATGCACAATGTTTAAGATAACGTGAATAATTCACACTTTACAGTGACACGCTGACTCGACAGAGCCGCCTCTGAATAAACGCTTCCTGCCAGTCTGCATGACTCACACACAGGCTGTTTGGATTTGCTGCACCACAACCTCTAGACATTTTTTATTTTACTTCTATTTGTTTTTTCACTTCATTAGACTAGGAAGGCTGGAAGAGAACATGCCGGTGTTTCAGTAAGCCAGGAGACTCAGTACACTGCGACAGTATTACTTGAGAAATTGGCCTGTCGGCTCACTAACACACTGTATGCCATGCCTTACAATTCAGACAGTATCCGCAGTTAGCTAGAAGGAAATGGCTGAAATAAACACACACCTTGCACAAACACCATACTCACAAAAGGCTAGTCTGTTTAAGCAGCAATAATAGATTTTCCCGACGGAGTGTTATTGAGTGAGACGGCTGGGCTGTTATCGCAGAGGCAAGTGGGTGTGGGTTAAGCTAAGGCTGGATAACTACTTTAAATCTGACAGGGGAGTGAGTTACAGACAGCGACGAACATAAAATATAATGAAGCGCTTTCATGACTGCCATTTCTAGGAAAGGGAATAAATACACATCAAGTTACAGTCAAATGAGCCTTGTCCACGCTTTCCTTACCAAGCCACGCTCTGCTGTCTAGGTCTGGACATCACGAATGCTCCTCAACAACAACCTCCTAACATTTTCTCCAGTTAGCTCGCTCCAGCTAACATGGGCTAACATGCTAAAAACAAGACAGCGCCGCCCCGGGTTTGTGCTCTTACCGAAATATGACGACTTGAAAAGCGAATCCATCCGAGCCGTGGTCTGCAACGAGGTATCCAAATTGCGTCAACGGAATTATGCTAAGTATTCAGTCTTCTTTTATTCGTCTAGCTCTGAGATTGAAGTTTATTTCGCGGACTAAAATGGCTGCGACTGGTCTAGGTTTGGATGCAGAGTGACGTAATGACGTTGTCGGACAGGAAGCTCGGGAGAGGTCGGCAGGGGAGGAGAAGGGTGGTCCTCTTCACTGGGCAGCACGGTCACTCCTTAAAAACCGGAATTTCTCCTTCAAAGTACAGACGATTGCAATATAATGGATACGTAATGGAAACGTATGTCAACAAGAGCAAAACGAACAAAAAGAAAAAGAAACAAACATAAAACTTGACTTTAGTCCTTTGGTATGTTTTGAATATGTTGCATAACTTTCCACAGTGTAGACCTGCACTGTGAAGAGCTGAAATCAGATCTGAAGTGCACATTGTGATATTTTTTTAATAAACAAGTCACGGACACAAGATAATTATCACTGTACATGATTTAGAATGGCCCCATTGTCGTGGAAAACCAGCTTTATTCTGATTCCTGCCCCTCACAAGCAGAAAGTGTATAAACTATTGGGTGGGGCATCTGTGCTCAAAGAGTCATGTCCCCGAGTTCTGATCACTCACATGACACAGAGCCAACAGCATTTAGCATAGAGGGGTTACTTGTACATGTACTGATATCATTTTAAATAAATGTTTGCTGTATTAAATATGAGCATCCCCCACTGTAACAGTATGTTATTACTAACAATTCACTCTATCATTCCTCTCAAAGGAAGAAAAAAATCACGTTAAAGGTTTGCTTAAAATAAATTAAGTGCATTTTTTTTTTTAAAGTTAAATAACAGTTTTTTTTATTAATTATAAAAAGACAGATTTTATTCTTCGACAATATAAAAACAGAAAAACGATAAAAGTCAGTTTTACAAAAACTGTATCTAAACGTAACATCTGCATTTTTTAAAAAGTTGATTTTGTATCCGAATATGTCAAACACTCTTACTGCAATCATTTAATCACAGTGGCAAAATCTTCCTATATCCATATAGTCTGCTCGTCATGTCTGTTTGGTCTTCTGTATGGGCGCAGGGACATTAACTACATTATGCAGGAACTCGTACAGCAGCTTGGCATTGTTAGCGTTTCCGAGTATTTCCCCTAACTTGTCCTGGCTGATTTTGGCTAAGTCGGCCAAGCTGTCTGCGTTTTTTATAAGAGCCCTGTAGTTTTTTGTGTTGACCCCAGGCATTTTCATCAGGAAGTCATAAGGTCCGGGATTGTAGAGGTCTGCCGATTCAGCCACAGTGTCTGACTCGGCCGTTACCGCCTGAGCTGCTGCGGCGTCAGGTTCGGGCTGGCCTCGCTTTAGTTCCAGGAAGAGCTCGGCTGTGGCGTGCGGGGAGGGGCACCACAGTATACGTAGCCGGGGGAAGTGTAACGTAAGCAAGGTGAGCTTTGAAGAAACATCATTTGATGAAATCTCGTGACGGAAATCCGAGCGGGCCGTTAGGGAAAATGGCTTAGCTGGGTCAAACTCGATGAGCAGCACAGGTTTCTTGTAGTAGCGGGTCATCGAGAGGCACTGGGTGTAGAGGCGGCCGCTCTGAAGCGAGCCGATCAGGTCGCTGACGCTTTTGCGCTCGACACATGCGTCCGGCGTCAGAATGTAGTCGCCAACTTCAAGGGTGACCGGCTCGATGTCCAGTCCGCGACGGTGGAGCAAGGATGGCAGCTCACTCCGGAACTCGCGCATGTCCACAATGACTCGTGAGGGCTCTGTGGGCTGCTCCTGGCCACCTGGTTATTGGACAGAAAACGGATATAAAAACACAAACTGGTCCAATGCATAGTGAAGACGATTTAGCACACAAAGGAGAGAAAAATCAAAAATGCATAACAACAGAGACTTGCCTGCTTTGCGGGTGTTGGTGGTGGCATTGGCGGGATCTAGATTCCTAGCAAGGTCTAGGTTGGTGTCTTCTCGCCCTTCTCTCTCCTCTGGGATCACCATAGTAGCTTTTTCCCTAAACAAGAACACAAATACAAGAAATGGTGAGCAAATGACCCTCAACAAAATACACCTAACGTGGCTAACGGGAGAGAAACAGCTCTGACCTGATGAGGTGTTCAAAAGCCTTCTTTTCCTTAGACAGAGCTGTCAGGTACTTCTGTTCTTCGGTCGAGCCACCATAGATGAGGAAGTACACCCTAAGTTGCTTTCCAGGCCGGTTAGCTTTGTAGATCTCAAGCTGGCGCACAAAACTCAGCTCGGCATCGTAAAGCACCACAAAGCTGGGCTCCACCTCATGGAGAACCCGGGTCAAGCTGTGGGGATCGGTGCAGCCTTTCAGCGGGTGAATGACAGTCAGCGGTTCCTTCAGGACGCCGTAATAAGCATCTGATGGCAAGTCTAGCTTGAGCTGCTCTTCCTCGCCTCCGTCTTCATCCGTCAGTTCATCCTCATCTCCGCTGCTGCCCATGACTGCCGCTTCGCCTGTCTCCTCCTTCCCCACCATCTGGGTCAGAGTCAAGGAAGGTCTGCTTTTGCCTTTTGTCGTCTTTGCATTTTTTTTCTGCGCAGGTTGCTTTCCCTTCGTTCCTTTTCTGACCGGACCCTTTCCCTTTTTTTCCAAATCCAGTTCTAAGGCGCCCAGTGCAGCAGAGTCCCGTTTCCCAATCGTGCGGTGGTAGAGCCGGTTGAGCAGCCAGTCGGAGCCGTGCTTGATGTACTGCTGCAGCTGAGCACAGGTCCGGTCGTCACTGGCACAAATCAGGACTCGACCTGAGGGAGGAACATAAGGCAGTTAGAGAAAGATAGATCTTTACAGAGAGATTGTCAGATTGTAATGTAAAAATGTAAGGATTTGAAAAAAATATTCCCCTGAAAGACTAAAAACTACTTTAATGTAAATTGACAATGAAAAGAGAAGCTTTTTTGATTTTTTGATTGATTGACAGGTGCTTTCCACGCCACCAAGACAGCATATTTAGGCCGTGAACTGGTGCACCTAAAGTGAGCTCACACAGAATCCTAACACTGGGGCTAAAGCCAAAGATTTTCCTGCTTCGAAAGCCAGGGGGTCCACTGGGGATAAAGAGGCCTACTCTATATTCTGCAATTGACCCAAATTCTGGTGGACTACTTTTCCTCAGTGTGTACAGGTGTACTGTCAAGTACTGTGCAGCTTCAAAGCAACACCACAACACAAATCAGCCCACCCCGAGGATGACTTTGTAAAATGCCAGCTGTGGCTCATGCTTTTCTTGCAGCTAAAAATAAATAAATAAATAAATAAAAATAAGAGGAACACTTTTTAATATAGCACTGAGTGAGTTATACTTCTGGGATATTGATCTGCTCAGTTTATTAGCAGAGGGGGTTGTTAATCAGTTTCAAGATCATGGAAGAGATTCCAGGAGTCTTACTGGAGGAGAGCTGGACAGGGCCGTAGAAGGTCCATAACCCATCAGCAGGACCATTATCTGCTCCTTTGTGCAAGGAGAAACAGGAGGAGAGCTGCCAGAGCTACGAAATGTAGCTTAAGGGCATCCTTTAGTGGGCTCCATGTACCAGAATTGGCAGGTCCACTGGCAAGTGGAGGCAATATAAACTACTGAGTACTATTTTGAGTTGCATTAGCCTGCAACATCATTTGATTTTCAGGGTTTGTTTAAATTCAGCCCTCTGTAAGCTGATAATTTACATTTCCATCAAACAATGGCATCCTTTCATTCTTAACATATTAGCCAATCTGTATCAGTATAGATTTCGAGCATGATTTTTTTGCCCCATTGAGCTTTGATGTGTTTCCAAAGTGTTGCTTTGTTGGCAGTCTAGATTTCAAATGAGGAGTTTAACTGTGAGCTAAAATTTACAAATCTTTACAAATGACTTATAAAAATCAGATCGTATTATAGAAAATCATTTTCAGACTCATTCATGATGACATTGTAACAGTTGAACATCACTGAGATCTAACCTGGCTCATGCTGAGAGCTCTTGTTCTCCCTCTCAATCTCCTCCAGGACCTCAGTCAGAGCCTCCCACTTTGGGCTCCTCTCCAGCACCAGCTCCCGCTTCACCTCTGAAACCCACACACAGACAGAGCAGTTAGTCATGCCAACATGAATACACAGACAAGTTCTGTGGATATCTACTCTGATATCACCGTATCAGAGATTGGCCAACTACACAGTTACCTGAGGCAGAGGATGGCTTCTGTTTCTCTGCCTCTGCTCCCACTTTAAGTTTCTTTTTGCTCTCGGGAATACGGTAGACTCTGCTCCTGGCGTTCACAAACATGGATGTACTGGAGTCCAGGAAGAGCCAACCTGATGGTAAGAGCGAGGTTGAATGCAAAGAATTACAATTAATTTAGACATTTTAAACTCTTAATGGCCTCCAATCTGGCATTTAAGGGCAGTCAAATAAATGTAGTTTACCCGAATTAGAGCCAAAGATCTTTTGGCTGGAGTGCAACGACTCAAGGAGATTGAGGAAGGTGACGCAGTCGTACTGGGTTAGGTAGAGCAGGAGGACTCTCAGCACCTTCAGATCCTGAACCAGTGCTTTGGTCTTTGCTCCCAGCTGATGCCACAAGGGGTCCAAATAGTGACGGATAGTCTGAATGGGAGTACGGCAAAGCATACAATTGAACTCACCTACAATCAGAGGTGTATTTTTCTAACTCTTCTAGCAGGAGAAGTCACACAGATGTGCTCCAGCTTATTCAGCATCACACGCGGCACCATTCATTATAAAAGAACTCGCAGTTCCTCACAGAACAGTGAACATCTTCACCTCTCACGGCCTCGCTCGGATGCTCTTTCCATATCCAATCATGCCACTGACCTGTTGCCAATTGACCTAATTAGTTGTGGGATCATACTGTATTTGTACTATTTTCAATTTAAATTTAAGAGGGTTTAGATGGATTACAAATCATTTTGCAGTGTCCTGAATTTTCTTTTAGAAACTGGGTTCTCATAAACGCTGTAATAACATTTAACATGCAAATTAAAGAGGTTCATCTCAACCTGCTTTTTTCTCGGTCCAATCACCATAAGCCTTCTTAAAAAACAAAAAAATCCTCCTTTAATAGTTTAATCAAAAGTGTTTTCACGCACTGAGGTAAAATTTGTCAAGGCAGCT